TTAGATGCCAGAGAGCACCTGAGACACCTGCCTGAGGCTGGACCACAGGACAAGGGGAAAAAAGCTTCTGGTGACCCACCCCACTGTGGAGGGGCAAGCTGGGGAAGAGGCCACCTACACCAGAACAAAGACACAAGCTCCAACACCTGGCAGCTGCCCTTTTTCTGTAGCACTGGCAGCAAGGTTAAAAGCAGTTTCTGAGCTGTGGCAGTTTCTAACACACATTAAGAAAAATTGAATTAAAAAAAAAAAGTAAAAAGTACTGAGCTATAATCATCTGTTCCACCAGCAGTTCAGAAAACTGAGCTTGAGAGAACATCTGGACTGGCAGCAGGGGACTAGCAAGTCATCTGCTGCCCTGATGTAAAACTGTGGCTCATGGGACAAAGTGTTTATTGTATACACTAAACCCTACCTGTTGTAGCACTTCAAAGCACATTTGGCACGGATGTCACTTGAAACTTCATAAAACTGACAAAGAAAAACTTAATAGATTTCTTCCATTACATGGCTTAGTTATGATTTTTAAACCCAAAAATACGGACACAACATCCTCTCTTAAAAAACTCTTGAAAACAGGCCTCAAAAAAGGCCCAAAGGAGATGCTGGGACATCTGCTGGCCCCAAATCCTTGCAACCAATATAATCTCTTACTGATCATACTGCTGCATTCAAGAAAGCTGGACTAATTAAAATTAAAACTGCATTGTAAATCAATCACTGAGTTTGCACCAAATTAATCTCATAGACCTTGAAATAATATAAAATTTTGCCTAAGTGTTCAGGTGAAAAGCATCATAGTATTAAAAAACCAAAACAAGCGAAACTAAGCCCCCTCTCCAAAAAAACCCCAAACAACAAACCAAAAAAAAACCCCATAAGGCATCACATGATTTCTGAATTTTAATTTTACCATAATTTCTAAAAGCTCACAGAAATATATCAGCATACCTATTGACATTCAGAATTGGCTTAAGACAGAATAGAATCCAACAAAATCTAATGAAAAGACAGGAAAAGCCTTAAAAGTCAAAACAATACTCTGGGACCTCAACAAGTCCAGAAGGGCAACATCATTTACGCATTCTATTCATGTAGTGCTGTGGGAAAAATCTTTACTAGGTAATATCTTGTTCTCAATTATTTTTAAATTGTTTTCCCTGATTATTATTTTAGACACATTTGCTATTTGGAGAAATGAATTTAAATGAAAACACAATCAACCATTCTAGTTGTGATCCCACCTGGTCTCCAGGGTGTACGACATCATTTCTAATGAATCTGGCAGCTGAATAACCTTTGAATATGATTTTAGGAGGAAAAAAAATTACACTTTGCTTGTGCAAAATTAATTACAAGTAGAATCCTTATTTAAGATAGGAAGGTGTTTACATGTATTTCAAGAGAGCTACCTGTAACAGGAACACAACAGAGATCTTTAATTTCTTCCAAAAAGAACTGCACAATGCCAACTAGAGTACCAGTCCAGAGCTTCTGGCACCCCTTTTGAACTAAAGCATTTCCTTGACATGAATTCAGGGCTAGAAAAGTCACAATTATTACAGGAATCAAAGCAAATTATATAAAAGTTTGTTTTTCAACAGAAAGTGTTAAAATCAACTGCAGTTCTCACTGAAGGTATGTGATTCTGGTTTTTGGATTGTCAGCTGAGGGAAAAGGGATGGACACAGATTTAGACAGGATAGAGATGATGGAGAGGAAGAGTCACCAAATTAGAACATTTCAAGAAAAAAATGCCCAGGATCTCTATTTCAGAAAAACTCACAAGAATGTGCAAGAGTTATGAAAATTATTAAAGTAAAATTTTCTTTTTGGTTGATTTTTAAAGCACTGTTGATATTCTTTATTGAAAATAGTTAAGCAAAAAGTATTCTATTGGCCAACTATCTTATCTGCAATTTCTCATTTCAATGAAATTGAGTTGTTATTTTCCTGTGCCAGACAACACCATGAAAAGCATAATTTTAAAATGTTGTTTACAGTTTACAGAAAAGCTCCTGCTTCATACAACACTAGTATAAATATGGATTGAAATATGAAGAATTTAAAATATGCCTTTTTCTTTTTCAGCAGCACTATGGGGCAAAGATGCAATACCCTGGTCTGTTGAACAGGTTTACTATTGCTTTTCTTGTAGCTACTCTCTACTTACACGAATTTTACTAAAAAATAGTATTTAAATGCACAAAGGATATAATCCTTTTTTTATTTTTTAGCATGGATATGGATCTTTTGCCACATTCTGTTACAGGAAATATTCACAGTCCCCTTCACAGACAACTGAATAATCTTGCAAATGCTGTGAGATAAACTTTTACATCTTGGCTTTCAAAGAAAATGTAGACAGACTAAACTGATAAAGTAACTGTTCCTTAATCTCCTTCACGGTACAGAATTAGTTTCTCTCAATTCCAAAGTGAATTGAGCATTCTTTGCATTTGATGTCTAAGTACCTGTAGATTTAACAGCTCTTCCCACTACAGAAGGAAAGGGATTTAGCACAAGCTCTGTGCAGGATAGAAGGCTGTGCTAGCTGAAGAAATTTCACTCAGCAAGCAAGCTTTTCTGTAGACCATTCAACAGACTGTGTTTGCTGTCATTGATTTTGAGCAAGCTTTCAACATCTGCCAGCAACTTGAGTCTCTCTCACAGATTTTTATATTCGCCTCATCCAGACTAGAGCTGCTCATCCACTGGTATGGAAATTAGCAGAATGCCAATACAGACTAAACTGAGGGGGAAAAAGAAGCCAAACTCAACATTTTCAATGAAATGTCTTGATTCTTTCACAGTTTTGCTCGGAACCTGCACACACAAAGAAGGGAAAAAATGCAAGCTATTTTTAATCAGTTCTGTGAAACTTGCAATGACCATGAAGGCTATAACTTTTCAGCCTTAAAACTTGACTATAAATATATAGAGAATATTTACTGTCTCAAGTATTAGGATAAAAATATCCCTTAATGACTAGAAAAAGTTCACAGCTTCCTATGCTTGAAGGGGAAGAAAGGGCTTCGACAACCATTTGAAAAGAGAGCTCCAGATCTGCTTTTGCTTAAGAGAGGGTAAGGGATGAGAACAGAGCTTCCGTTTCTCTGGTCTTTGCTATTCTCTCATCTCATCCCTCCTCCCTCACAGCTCTTTCCACTTCCTTTTTCTGCATTCAGTCTGGCACCTCTTCCAAAGCCCAAGTATGAAAAGAAATTCCATAGGTATATATCAGTGACCCAACCAAGCCATGGAGGCAGTTCTTCACTTCTGAAGAAATATTTAACATTGACAAGCGCAACCTACAGAGGAGCTGGCTGTTTCTCTCATTTATAAACATTCAATACCAGCATCACTTTCTTTTCCAGCAGGAAGAACCAGAACAGAGGAAGGTCCATAACCACATTCCATTGTCTCACTAGAGACATTGATATTCACACACTTGCTGGTTACTTATAAGCATCAAATGAAAAAGTCTAATACTATCACATTGGTACTAAAGTTTTAAGATTATTTGAAATACAACTGATTTGAGTATGAATTTAAAGCTTTATAGGAAGGACTAAAATGCATCTCTTACAATTATTAAATCATGATAAATCACATCAGAAACTCCCCCTGAAATGACCCATTAAATTGTCCCCAAATAAACAACAGCTCATCCTATTAAGTATTGAAGTGCACCAGTCACTTTTCACACTGGTAACTCGTTTTATTTGCCACTGAGTTCCATTAAACAATTGGCCCATGCTATGTAACATGACTTCTGTGCAATCATATCCATCCAGTCCATGGCAATTCAATGTAAACAAGGGAGGAAAATGGAAAAAAAACCAGGAAATTGAACCTGCAGAACAAAAACCTTAACAACTAAGAGGTTAACAAGAAACTAGAACTCTACAGTTGCTCTGTGATGAGCCACAACAGGAACATTCAAATATAACCTTAAAAGGGTTGAAACAGGACATGGTAATCGGTAAAAAGGTCACACCAGATTATGCATCTCAAGGGGGAAAATAAAAGAATTTATCCTGGAATAAGTGCGAACTCTATACAGAATTTTATTAAGACATGCCATAAGGAGATTGTGAAGTTACACAAAACTTACTGTGGAATGTTTAGGGAAACAAAGGAAAGGAAAGGGAAGAATCAGGGTGCTTCAGGGATGAACAAACAGAAAAAAATGCGAGAAGGACGCTGAAAGAAGCTGGCTGCTTGTGCCTGTTTCTCCACTTAAACCACTGAAACATTCAGCATACAAGATCAATCTCCTTGCCCCCAATACCTCAGAGAACAAAGAGTAAACAATATTAAGTACTAATAATCAACTGGCATTAATACATGTTTTGACACACACTATAGTTATACTGGTTAATTAAGCTTGCCCAAACTGGGGTCTCTAGAAATGTCTGCTGAAAATGACCCCTGCTTTGTATTAATTGTTGATTGACCTCCAGAAGCATTTTGAAATAGAGTCAGCTCTCCTGGGGGAAATCTTTTCCTACATTTCAACAACCTGACAGTACGTCAATAAATTTACAGAGCTTACAAGTTTTCATCAGCTTTTCTTACTATTTTTTTTAATATACGAACATAATCTACTCTATATATGCAACATACTATATATAGTAGGGAAATATTAATATGCATAAAATTCATAAAATACACAATTATATATTTCTACATAACAGATATTTAAATTTTTATTTATAGAGAAATATGTTTTTAAATAAAAATACCTATTATTATAAATTGCATACAATGCACATGGTATATAACATGCACATTGGTAGTCATAGATGACAGGAAAGCAATGAAATGGAATTACTATCATGTAGTGTTAGATTTTAAGGATTTAGGCAAGTAGAGGAATTTAACTCCACATCCTGCAATTGTTAAACAACCCAAATAACTTTACCAGCTTGGTGAGGAGTGTAGTTTTAACAGAATCGATAACCACTAGCACAGCTGAAGTGGTGTTTTATACTCACTTTGCATAGTCAAAGAGCCTGCTGTCCCAGAGCTGGTGATTGCCTCTGTATCCAGAATGGAAGAAACAGGAATCTGTACCATCAAACTGGTTGAGACCATCTTCTGAGTTTTTTGAGGCGTGGCTGTGCACCACATCCAGCAGGACTGTGATGCCCATGGAGTGAGCAACGTCAATCATCTCCTTCAGGTCGTCAGGAGTTCCGTACCGGCTGTGAAACACAACGTGGCACCATCAGGGCTCCTGCTGGCAGTGCTCAACACTCATCATGGAAACTACATCAAAGCCAGCAGTTCCTCACCACCTACTCTACAGATGTACATGGGTTATTTCTCAGCCTCTTAAGCAGTAGCCATTGCTTAGAAACTAACATTTGATCATTTTTCCTTATAAGAATTCTATCATCCACACAAAGCTTTGCAAAACAGATTGTTGTACTCTTTCCTTTTTAATAATACATAAAATTCAGTATAAAAAGATAACAGATACAACTTAAAACTGCTATTTAATACTGAACACTTCCTTAGCTCATAAGGGACAAGAATACATTCATATTGCTGGAATAAAGTAACACAATGATTGCATAAGTAAATGTATATCCACAAAGCCCACAAAATACACTACCTGCTATTTTCCTGCTTGGTTATTTGGTTTAGGTATTACACCATTTTCTTAAAAAGATTTTGTTCTCCTACGCTTGACACACCTTTTTTCAACTAATTAAGCTGTTAAAAACTGTTAAAAATGTAGATAGTTAAAAACTGCCTATCTAAATTTAGCCTGGTTGCCACTTGATCTGCTCTAAGATTAAAAATAAATTTAAAAAAAAGACTTTCACATTTATCATAATTTTCTTAACAACTACCTGAATTCATTTTCATGTAATTTCACCCTATACCTCAAGTCTAAGCACAGTCTGTTACAAGCCCGTAAGGAAAAGGGTTCCCAAAGAACACAGAGTCATGATTTTAATCAAGTTCATTACGAACAGTGTACAGTTCTGTTTTTCATATTAGAAAGCACTACACACTCTGTTTTTTACTGCCAAGAATTTCACCCAAACCTAGGTATAAAGACTGGTGAAGGTGGATTACGTGGAATATGCTATGGCAGCTGAAGTTGCTTATAAACTATTTGTCTGTAATTCTATCAAAAGCGTTTCACAGAGCTGTTGATCACTGTGCCAAACTGATTTCAGATTTCAGAGGAAGGTAGAGTAAATACCTAAGCCATTGCTTCCCATTATACACTTTCTTGCAAACACACATCTGCATGCAACAGTGATTTCAATGGATGGGAAAGAAGGGAAAAGAATAGAGAAGAAGCTGGAGCACTTAAACTTACCTTGATGCTGCAAAGAAACTTGTGACCTGATAACCAAAACTGGCATAGTATGCATGTTCCATAATGGCCATCAGCTGGACACAGTTATAGCCTACAATAAAAACAAATATAACAAACAAATGCCTTAAGGATAGTAAAAAGAGTATTCAATACCCGTAACATATCCATTCTAGTCTTCTCTCATTTTAGCTGCCTCTGACCCTAATGGTTAACACCTAAAGATTCAGTAACTTTCACCAAGCAATTCTAACTAATAGTTTATACTAATGTGATCTCCATGGCAAATGAAACAGTCAATTTGTCAAGTGATCTACACATACTGAATCTCCCAGATGCAGACAGAAAGAAGTGTAATCCTTATTTAACTTCAGAATATTAGTTATGCTCACTTGCATGTCCTGAACTGCTTCAACTTCTGACACTTGCAGTCAGGGTTATCCACTGGCTACACACACTATGACAAAATCACAGAATGGTTTGGGTTGGAAGGGAACTTAAAAGATCCTCTAGCTCCCACTCCTCTGCCAGGGGCAGGAACACCTTTCACTAGACCAGATTGCTCAACACTCCTTCCAGGGATGGGGCATCCATAACTTCTCTCAGTAACCTATTCCCATGTCTCACCAACCTCACAGTAAAGAATTTCTTCCTAATGTCCAACCTAAACACACCCTGCTTCAATTTGAGGTCCCCCCATCCCTGGGGTCCACTTGGATATCAAGCCATTGACTGAAACTCTGAGTATGACCATCGTTCTAATTCCTTATCCACCAAGTGGCCCATCTGTCAGATCCACATCTCTCCAGCTTAGACACAACACTATAATTTCGTGACATATTAATTCTTTTTTTTTCATTCAGCAAAAACACATTTTTCCAACTTCAACAATTATTTCTTCCCTCTACAAGAGTCTTCCAAAAAAAAAAAAAACAAAAACACAAGTGTAATGTGCTTTTATATTATATATAATGTGCTTTTTCCAAGTTCACTCAAGAACCAAAGCAGTCCAGGAGGGCTGGGGGACACACTGTGCTCTGTCTCCTAAGATAGTTCAGTTCATGCTTAAGGAAGGGAACTCTAAAGAATCAAGATTTTTCTACAGACTATTAAGACTCACACCTCTACCACTTCTCTGTTTGAAGAAAATATCCACTTAATTCCTTCGTTTCAACAAGATGATGTAGGATTTTTTATTCTTCCTTGCTTTTTTATAGCTGTGACATTTAAAACCAGAGCTATTATTAGAAGATGGTGTGAGCTCAGCACTTCGTCAGATTCATTGCTGGTTTATAATTCAGGCCCGTTGTAGTTATTTTTATTTACATCATTTTATAAACAAACAGGAACATTGCATCAAATTAATCTCATTCAATTTGCTTGCTACTTATTTTGCTATTTGTCAAGCACATCCTCCTACAAACTAGTAATATATTAGGGTTCTCATATAGTGACATCTTTAAGCTTGTTCTAAAAAAAGTAAGACATTCCAAAACTGATATAACAGACCTTAAAAATATTTTTTAAAATACTTAATTCCCACAATGCTTACTTAATGTAAACAAGAAGGAAAATTAGTTATACTTTCTATATAGCCTAAATTTGATACTGCTTTTTATTATTTGGTGTATCAGCCTTTTCATGACATTTCTTCACAAAGAAAAAACTGTAGGACTCTATAAATCCTATTAAATTCCTGGGACAAGTGAAATTCCTTGGCAGTAATTAGTCACAGATATATAATGTAAAATCCAAAACTGCTTTTTATATAATGTAGAATCTAAAACATCTTCCACATGTGCAAACTTCCTCATCTCACCTGCAAGATCAACTTTACCAAAAGGCAAAAGCCACAAAACATTGACTTAACATGTAAAGCTACACAAAAACGTCCTCTTCAGGCACTCTGATAAATAAAACAGAATTTAAACAAATCAAACACCGCCACCATCCACAGAGGTTTCAGCTACAGATGTCATGATTATTTTACAGCAGTGTAAAATATATATTTCATCACAAGGCAGTAAGAGGCAGTAGCTTCTAACATTGTCCATTACAAAAACAGTGCAAAGACACCATGGGAAAAAATAATTAAATGAAATGAAGTTGAACAGTTTTGCTGTGGTTCCTGAGATAACGTTACCAGCTCTTTCACGTATCCTCTCCAATATACTAGAAGCTCTTTTCCTGAAGAAGGTCTTTCATATTTAAAGTTTGCTTGCTCTGATACTTCTGAGCTACTGCTCAGCATGCTTATTCTGGCAAAACAAAGAATATTCAGGTATTTCTTCTGTCCTTTCTTAGAATTAAGCTTTACAGTAGTAGAGCCAATTAAGAATGAAGTATTTTCTGAATACTATCACAAAAACAGGTCCTTTTTCAAGCTGAAAGCAAACCATGCCAAAAGCAAATTACCTTGCAATACTTATCTGGGCTTTAATAACCATATTTTACTTAAAAATTTGGAATAGACTTTAATTCACATATCTTATTTCAGGCTTTGTTCTCCATAGATTTGACTTGTTTATAATTTTTGCTCACCTAAGAATCTATTTTTATAGCAAGTGTAATTGGGAAATCCAAAAAACCTCTAGATACTTGACAGTTTTCTTTTCTAACAAGCACAGGCACAAAAGTATTACCTCTGCAAGCATTTCTGGTATTACTTACCAAGGTCCTTTATTCTAGGCAGTACATTGTATGTGAAGTTTTTATAAGAAGCTACTTTGCCTTCTGGGGAAGCAATTCCCACATGAGATTCATAGATTCTTAGGCTTTTTAATCTCTTGGGAGAAGGATTCTTATGCTAGAAGAAAAAAAAACAAACAGATGCCATTAGCTCAGGAGTGTTGTCATAATCACATGATTTGCACAAGATGAAAAACAATTTCGGTTTATTTAGTTTTTCCTCTAAGAGCATCCTAAACATTTCAGAAGCAATTGACCGTTTTATATTTTTAAAGCAAATGTCTGTTTGAAAATAACATCCTTGATGAACAAGAAACTGGACATTCATGATTCAATGCTTTTCTAATATTCTTTTTAAATTATACTTCAGTGTTCAAACTGATAGTAGCCACTACACTTGTTTTCCTTCTGAATCACTATGAAGCTTGTTTGAAAATAGAGAGAGAAAATAAGATAGGCTTTTATTTTTTAAGCATACCTGCTTTTTGCAGGTACATGAAACCGCTGCCTTAACTCATCTGAAATTTTTAAATGTTATTCCTAAAGAATACAGTCCCACAGCACAGAATCATTTATATTGTAAATACTTAGGATTAAAATATAATTTAAAAATCCCAAGTCTGAAGATCAGTACACAGCATTTCTAGATGGGTGAAAATATTTGAAGAATACAGAGGCCATTGAAGTTAATATCCTATTTGTTAGTTTATTATTCAGGTGAAATATTGAAAATGCAGAACAAAACTAGTTCTGCATTTTCAACAACAAACAAAACAAACATGTGAACAGAAACTAAAGGAACCATGTGAAGAACAATACTTCTGATTGAGGCTTGTTCCCTGTGATTTATTTCCACTGGATACCTCTATTATCCATAAAAGGACTTTCATATTTTTTCAAAAGGCCTTATCTGCATCCAAAATTTCAAGCCTCTTTTTCACTCTAGGTGAAACCCCAATCATTGCATTCCCAAATCCCTTTTCTTGCAGACATTGAGATGTCACAGAGCATCATACACAGAGTAGACCACTAAACTGATAGACTACACACTTCAACAAAAGTTAACGTACATTATGTTATCTATTTTTAAAGAAAATATTTTCCATGCCAGTAACCTTTTCTCTCTCAAGAAGTTGCTTCCTAAATTGAGGTGGATGAGAAAATTTAACTCAAGATAGAGGTTACAGCATTTCTAATATAAACCACTGCACACCATTTTTCAGGGAAAACATGAAAAAGTTTACTATGAAACAACATCACTCAGACAGTCTGAAGTTTGCAAATGTTCTCCTAGGATATTTTTTATATATCATGCAAAGAGTTCTCTCCCTTACAGCAGTGCAGGAGAAGAAATAGGGCTTTAAATTCAATAATGGGATTTTCCTGATACAAAGAAACAAGGATTTGACTGGAGCATTGGCACCTTATTTTGGAAGTTTTTTCTAACTTCATGGAATATTAACCTATTGTTGAGTTTTGAGCATTTGCAGATAACCAATCCTTAAATCCAGTACTGATAATTCCCTACTCTCCATCCTACCAGGAACAGCCATCTTGTCCCAGAACACCTGTCAATGTTGCCTAACAGGTGACAAATCAAGTTTAAAAGAGCACATTAGTAACTATTTTTTATATATTCTACAGGAGGCTGAAAAAGCTCAAAACCATCCATCATTAAAGTCATTTATTTCTGTCAAAGTGATGAATAAAAGCCCTTCATCTCTCAGCTTTTTTAACTAGTTTGTGATTTCCTTTGATTTTCTCCCAAACAGGGAAACAAAGACAACATGATACACCTCCCAAAAATAATATTGAAGCCTTACTATATATGACTGTGGAGGATTCCAGTGAACCCAATCATAATTCACTTTGTCTTCATCACGGACCACATATCTTGCCCAGGGTGAAATACGATAGAGGAGGGCGCCGTTCTGAGCACGAATCACCACCTATAAAATAACACAACATATGCAGGCAGTCACTTATAACTCACAGAATGCCTTCTATGCAAGCCACAGCACAGAATGAAATAGGAGACTACACAGAAATTTAATTTACAGAACACACAAAGCAAGTCAAGAGGAGGAAGAATGACCCTGCCCGCAGGGATGATTTGCAAAGGGACAGTAAACCAGACAAGTCACACAGGAGTGATGCTGACAGCAATAGCTGAAAGGTGAGAATATACATAAGATTTATATAAGTAATGGGAGAAGAAGCCAAGCCTTCCCAAATGGATTTCTGTTAGGTTCCCTAATTACCCCTGTCATTCCTATTTCCTTTCCAAGTTCTGATAAATTTAAACAGATATGCAGTATTATGCCATTAGGATGAGAACTGTGATTTGTTTAACTTGATAAACAAAACAATCTAGTAAGGCAATTTTAATATCATAATTCCATCTTCTTTTCCATGCTCTGAGAGTCCTTAATGTCACATAGCCCAAAACCACAGACAGCACAAGAAGCACAGGACAATTTTTGGGTCAAGGCAAAGAAAAAGTTCCACCTCTCTCACATCCTCCCACCTCCCCTCTCCTCAGCACAGAAGGAACAGCACCACTCTGGTTTTGCTTGGTATCTTGGCTGCCACTAAAACAGCAACACAGATGGTTTGCAAATTTAAAACCTAGAAATGTACAAGCAATGAACGCACAGAATTCTTAATTCTGCTTTTTTTAAACAAAGTGATGACTGAGACTTTTCAGTTTGGTTGTCAGTTTTATGAGGCTTTTTCTTTTTTTGTAAGAAAAACAATGAAATTATAAGAAGCCTCAAATGAAAAGGGATAGGGGATTTTTTCCACTACTTTGTCATTTTTTTGTTAAAAAAAAAAAATTGCTTGTTTTGCTCTCAATTCCTAACAGGTAGTCTGGAAGACAAAATTATCAAAGAATTTCCTTTTGACCTCTGCCAAGTGTCTTTCATTGTTTTGATAGATTATTTTATCCTTAACCCAATCATGGAAGAAGGCAGGATCACAGAATCATGTTTAGTTGAAAGGAACCTTATAAAGATCATCTAGATCAACAAAGAAAATAAGTATATGCAGATGGTTAATGGAAGTTGATAGAATAAGGCAAGGAAGAATGACTGCTGTCCCTCAGTACACAGTATTATAACTCCAACAATTTAAAATAGGTTTTATAAAATGGAGTAATTCATATCAAAAACTACCAAAAAAGCTGAGAAAGTTATTGCAAAACACTGTAAAGCTGCATAGAAAATTTCTTCTGTTAGCTGAACTAGCAAAGCTGATCCCAAGAGTGTTTCTGCAAATTCTATCAACACTGTGAAGATCCTCCTTGCTGATAGCATTGACAATTTGCAAATTATTCTTAAAATAATAAAAGTTATCTCCTCTCTCTAATATCACTCTTCTGATGGTGCTATTGCTTCTTTTATTATTTTGTCCCAATTTACTCACCACAGAAATAAGATGATTACTGCATATAATAACCTACTCATCTTGGCATTCACTTTTTCTAATATTTTAGCATAATTCATACTAGACAGGCTTATGAAGGGTGGGCACATTTAAGAAATGTGAAGTAATTAATCTACATTCAGAACATTAATTAGCTGTAGTACTGGTTTAATCCAAAAATGATACTGGAGGGGAGAAATGTAAATTTCTTTATTATGCTATATTAATCCAGTCACGTACTGTCTTCAATTAAAGCCATTAAGCAATGAAAAAGTTAGGAGAAAAAAAAAAAGATATCAGAAAACCATTTAAATGGCCAACCATCAGTTATTTGACTTTTTCAAGTTAAATTTCTATAGTTATACTGCACAACTAATTTCTGTATCCTGTCCTTCTGACAAAGTTTAAGAACTTGTAGTGTTCTGTAGTCACTTAAATTGACCTTATTTTTTTTTCCCTTATTTGTGAGACACCAGTGCATTTGTTTTAGCATTTGTTTAGAAGTAATTTTTTCAAGTGCTAGTTTTGCATTTAATCAAAACATCTACAAAACCAAACTTAATGGCTACACTTTTCAGGAATTGAGAGACTTAGCAGAAATCATATAAAGGTTCTATCAACTTTTACAGACTTAATTTTAAAAGATAAAACTAAAACTTTATAGAAATGCATCCATTTATCTGTCATATATTAATATAGAAATAATATGGAGTCATAAGCTGTGGAAATCTACAGGTTGGGTTTACACACTTGAACAGTCTTACAACTTTAGAGTCTGCTCTATTTTAAGGCTCACAATCTAAATTTATGGGTTCATTCATTTTAAAATTTTGCTCTCTATTATGCAAACATATAATACAACTCCCATGTTCAAAAGAAAAAGTTATCAAAGAACCACAAGGTTGGACGAGACCTTTAAGATGATAGAGTCCAACCCAAGATACATTTATCCAAAAATAGAAGTAATGAAATTTAACCATGCAAATATCAGAAAAATCTCAAAAAACGTCGAGAAGCACTTACTTTAAACAAATAATAAAATTTATTTGTTGCTTTCTTTACAGTATAGGTGGTCTTAAGAAATATTTTTCAAATATATCCAGCCATGGCTATAGATTAATCTTACCCCTACAGTAGAAACCTCAAGTTTGCTCATTTGTTGCTGTAATTTTTGCGTATCATGGGTTGTGCACAGAGAAAGCAGAGTCAAGGAAAACAATTATTGCACCACCAGAGCTGGTAAAGCTGAGTCCTTTCCTTCTCTGGTTTGCAGAAGCATAATCAACACAGCATCCTAACAGATCTATCATGTGATCCCTGGCAATTTCAATTCTTTGTAGCTATGCTTGTTCAATACTTTTCTTAATTTTATGTGAATAGCATTTACAGTGTCTCTCCTAGGCTTAATCATCAAGCTCTGTACTCAATCATCTTATTCCTCTCTCCTGATATTGTATAAATTTTATTAATAAGGTAGAAATAAAAACTCCAAATAATGTTCTCTGAAGTTTCTTGAGAGAGAACTCTCACATCACCATGCTTAGCTGAAGCATGATCACAGGAACAGGGAAAAACTAAATGGCACCACAAAACAAATAGCAGTTCAGCCCAAGACTGACCAAGTTGTCACACTGGTTGCATTAAACTTGTTTTTTAATTCCCAGATTTGCTTTGCTATTTCTTGAAACAATTATATATAAGCAAAATAATAAAATAACAATAATATAATGATAAAAGGAGAAAAATTATAAAGCCCACATTAAACAAAGACATGTGAAAACTCTTGCTCCACTCACCCCAAATTATGTCTTGTGGTCCCTTCTCTGCAGTGTCCAGATATAAAAATTAGCTGCTGTGTATACTCTAAATGTGCTGTTACAGATTTTACATGCATAAGGAATACTGAATAGAGTCATTACACAGCACTTTTGACAGAGTATCTATAAATCACTTTAACAGATACTGTACTTTTCCTCCAAATTAGTTTGAAATGAGTAAAATCAAATTTCTAACAGTTGCAGCCTAACTAGCTACTACTTAGTTCATCAAGACTTTATAGCTGACTTAACACTTTCTAATTAACTGAAAAAATTGTTCTCTAAAGAGCATATATAAGACCATGATGTTCATGAAATTAGGCTTCTTCAAACCGGCCTGAGGATTTACCTACTTCCTTCTCACAAGGCATGTCCCTGATCATTCCTCAATGTATATGAGGAGGCACATCCCACCATTTGAGATAAAAATTACAGTCCTCATTAAATAAAGCTTTTAAAATGCATAATGCTATAGCATGAAACATCTACTAAGTGAACCAAACGAACCTCTCATCACAAGCAACCTCTTTTACAGTTTAGACTTAAGTGAAAGAAAATCCTAGGTAAAAATAATCCCTGTATTTTTGATCCTATTATTACAGAAAACACTCCAACAAGAGGACAAGTGAGGGGAAAAAAGGAAATCTGAGTTTCCAATACAAACTAATACATCCTCCCCAATTAGTTAAAAACCAACAAAAACTGTCAAAGAAGAAAGAAACTGGTATCTCAAAAGAGTTACATTTAAACTGCCCAAATTTAGTCAGAATGGAAAAATACAAAATAACTGATGTTAAGAACTTGCCACCATTTACATTAACCACCTCTTTGTGGGAAACATGAGATAAAGTAATATATATCAAATTGTATACTCCATGGACAACATCATGATTTTCTTTTGTGTCTGTGTGCAAAGAGGGAAGCATCTTACAACAGCAAGCCTGTATAGAACTCTCAAAAAGAGGGTTTTTTTTTCCCCTGTTTCCAGAATCTCCATGATGGCTGTCCCATTGGAAACTTCTGACACAAGAATGTAGGAAATTCCAAGTCATGCTGAATTTGCTGACATCAACTTTAAAAATAGCTCACCTAAATAGTTTAGGGTTTTTCCCCACCTCTCCTACTGGCAAACATTCAAAATCCTTGATGTGACCTTTGAATGTCACATGATTCTGGCTTCCAAGTGAGATATAAATACATATAAATAAATGATCTCACAGAAATAAGTGTCAGGAAGACAGAATGAAAATGTCCTTCAAAACCAGGCATTAAAAAGTCAATTTGCTCTAAAAATGGACATGACACAGACACATAATTTATATAAGTACAACTGCAAAACAACAGAAGTGAAGACCTCAACCTATGCTGTACATCTTTTGTATGCAAAGGTTAAAAATTTATATTTGGTATATTCATTTTCTATTAAAGGGATGTTGAGTATATTGTCAAAGTTTCTGTCTGAAGTGTACAGCATCCTAAAGTTTAGCATCCAAAAACACTGTAATAAGTGCTGTGGATTTCACAAATGAGAACACCCAACATAGAAAAAAACACGACTTTAAACCTGAGTTTTACAGCATCAGTGCTAGTAAGCGATTAATTTTGAAAAACTTTCAGACCCAAATAAAAGCAAATGTATGGCTGCAGTCAGAGAAAACATAACGAACAAAGTCTGGCTTTGAAGATATATAAGAACTGGTGTGCAA